GGTGGCAACCGAAATAACGGAGGCAGAGGAGGCGAAAATGCGTTTCAGCAGAACGAGCAACGGCGAAACAGCGGAGGCGGCGGAGACGAAATTGCGTTTCAGCAAAACAGCGGCGGCAGAGGCAGCAGCGACAGAGACAACGGCGACAGAAGCAGCGGCTGCAGAGACAACGGCGGCAGAGACGGCGACGGCAGAGACGGCGACGTCAGAGACAGCGGTGGCAGAGAAGGCGATGGCGGCAGAGGCAGAGACGACGGCAGCGCCGTTTATGACGAAATGGCATCGTTTGGTGGTGGGTTTTCGTCATCACGATTTAACATGGCGAAGGAAATGCTGATGGACTTCACAGATAAAGTGGCTATTCTACCATGGATCGCTCAATGGGCCAACATATCGGCTTTGTTTAGCTTTTCATACATGCAACGACGTATCTTGCTGATCAGCAAGTTAAAGGGCAGTGCGTTGCAGTGGCTGCATGCGGATGAAGGGCGGTTCGTGAAGCCCACAAATGAGCTGCTGGAACAACTGCAGCTAGCTTTCGGAGGCTTTGAATCAAAGGCTACATTAAGGCGCAAGTTTAAGGAGCGAATTTGGTCGTCAACGGAAAAATTCGCAGTCTACTTCGAGGAAAAGTGCAGACTTGCTCGAGATGTCACCATGGAGGCGGATGAACTACTGGACGGACTCGTGGAGGGCATTCCAGCTCTAAGCTTGCGTACACAGGCCAAGCTTCAATGTTTTGATGGGCCGGAGCGCATGCTTCAAGCTTTTGCGGACATCATGTTGCCGAAAAGGGCGACAACAACCAAAGTGGCAACATCGAAGACGGGTTCAACAAGCAGAGAGACGCGTTGTTTCAACTGCAACGCAAAGGGGCACTGGAAGAGAGAATGCACCAGGCCGAATAGGCCGCCTGGATCATGCTATGGTTGTGGCGCAGAAGATCACCGTTTGACTGAATGTCCCCAGAACAAGAAGAAGGTTGAGAACAAATATGTAAGATTATTCAAAATTTTTAGTGTTGAAAACCCTAACCAGCCCATTATCACAGAGTGCCTAATAGATTCGGGAAGCCCAGTGTCATTGATCAAAATTTCATACTTACCAGCCAACATAAAATTAGAACCTCAAGAAAAGAGTTACTTTGGTCTAAATAAAAGCTTATTGAGAAGTTATGGCAAAATATTATGTTTCATATACAAAAAGAAAATAAAGATTTGGTTTAACTTAATTGTAGTGGCTGACGAATCTATTGGCTGTAATATTGTGCTGGGTAGAGATTTTATGGATGCTTGCGATTTAAAAATTGATTTAGAAGAGCTGAAAATGGTTACTGTAGAGTGTATTGAACCCGAAGTCGAGAAGAAAACAAAAGTAAAAATACTTTCTAATAATTGTATGGAAATTAGGAAATTTAAAATCAATTCGGAGAGGTTAGCCAAGACAAATTTAGGTACAAGTTTAGTCGAGGAAAATTTAGGTACACATTTAGGTGAAAAGAGTTTAGGTAAAAGTTTAGGCGAGGAAAATTTAGGTACACATTTAGGTGAAAAGAGTTTAGGTAAAAGTTTAGGCGAGGAAAATTTAGGTACACATTTAGGTGAAAAGAGTTTAGGTAAAAGTTTAGGCGAGGAAAATTTAGGTACACATTTAGGTGAAAAGAATTTAGGTAAAAATTTAGGCGGGAACAATTCAGGTACAGATTTAGGTGAGAAGGGTTTAGGTAATATTTTAGATGACGAAGCTTTAGGTTCAGGTAGTTTAGGAAAGAGCATAGAGGATAATTTTGAAAGTGAAATGTTAGAAATAAACATTTTAGAAGATGAGACTAAAGAAATGGCTTACAATATCGGGGATCAGGTTAGTTATAAGGATCAAATGAAGTTTATTGAATCATTAGAGGAAAATTATATTAAAGTATTGCGACCTGAAAGTCCTAGAGTTAAATGTGAGTTGAATATTATTTTAGAGAACACAAAACCATTTAGTTGTGCACCTAGAAGACTGTCTTATAATGAAAAAGAGGCATTACAGAAATTGTTAGATGAATACTTAGAAAAAGGAATTATTCAGAGTAGTAAATCGGAATACGCATCTCCGATCGTTTTAGTGAAGAAAAAGACTGGGGAGTTTAGGTTGTGCATTGATTTCAGACGGTTGAATAAAATTATGGCTAAAGATAATTATCCTATCCCCTTAATTGACGATTTGTTAGATAAATTGGTGGGAAAATCGGTTTTTACAAAATTAGATTTAAAGAATGGGTACTTCCACGTTTTCGTGAACAAAGAGTCAGTGAAGTACACATCTTTTACAACGCCGCTAGGGCAATTTGAGTTTTTGCGAATGCCAATGGGTTTGAAGACGGCTCCCCAGGTATTTCAAAGATTTGTAAATGATATTTTTTCTGATATGATTCGTGATAATAAGGTGATAATATATATGGATGACATTTTAATTGCAAGCCAGAGTATTGAAGAACATTTAGGAATATTAGTAGAAGTATTTAGGAGATTAGTGGAGAATAAATTAGAACTAAGAATGGATAAATGCAAGTTTCTTCAAAATAAGGTAAAATATTTAGGTTTTCTAATTTCAAATGAAGGAATTAAAGCTGATGAGAGGGGATTAGAAGCTATAAAGAGCTTTCCTATGCCAAATAAAGTGCAAGCTGTACAAAGTTTCTTAGGTCTTTGTTCTTACTTTCGCCGCTTTATAAAGGATTTTTCGATATTGGCGAAACCATTATATGATTTACTGAGGAAAGATAGGACGTTTGAATTTGGAAATGAAGAGTTGGCTTGTTTCACACTGTTGAAAGATAAATTAGTTGCAGCCCCGGTGTTAGCTTTATATGATTACAAGGATGAAATTGAGCTCCACTGCGATGCGAGTGCGTTAGGGTTTGGGGCTGTACTGTTTCAGAGAAAGGAAGACAAGAAGTTGCATCCGATTTTTTATTTTTCGAAAAGATCAACATCGACTGAAGCTAAATACCATAGCTTTGAATTAGAGACGTTAGCCATTATTTATGCGCTTAGAAGGTTTAGGATATATTTACAAGGGAAACGGTTCAAGATTGTTACAGATTGTAATTCTCTAACATTAACGTTGAATAAGATAGATTTAAACCCACGAATTGCAAGGTGGGCTTTAGAATTACAAGAATTCGATTATGAATTAAAACACAGGGCAGGAAAACAAATGCAGCATGTTGATGCACTTAGCAGATGTAATAATGTAATGATAATAGAGGCAAATACGTTTGAGAATAATTTGGTAATTTGTCAGTCAAGAGATAGTAAGGTACAAGAAATTAGGGAAATTTTAGAAAACGGAGAGCATAAGTGGTTTGAAATGAGGAACGGGGTTATATATAGAAAGAATAATAATAACAAGTTACTGTTTTATGTACCAAATAGAATGGAGGAACACGTGATGTATAAATATCATGACGAATTAGGTCACATTGGAAGGGATAAGATGTTAGATGCGATTAGTAAAAGTTATTGGTTCCCGGGCATGAAACAAAAGGTTTGTGATCACATTCAGAACTGTTTGAAGTGTATAGCTTTCTCTCCTAAATTAGGCAAAGGAGAGGGAGCGCTGCACAGTATCCCCAAAGGGAATAGACCATTTGATGTTATTCATATTGATCACTATGGGCCAGTAGATAATAGTAGAGTAAAAAAGCATATCTTAGTGGTAATAGATGCATTCACGAAGTTTGTTAGGCTTTATACAACAAAAACAACGAATACAAAAGAAGTTATGAGTGCTTTAACAGACTACTTTCGGTCATACAGCAGACCAAAGTGTATTATTTCGGATCGTGGGAGTTGTTTTACGTCAACGGATTTTACAAACTTTACCAAGGAAAGAAACATAAAGCACATTAAAATTGCTACAGGGTCACCACAGGCTAATGGGCAAGTTGAGCGAGTAAATAGGAGTTTGGGACCGATGATTGCAAAACTATCGGAACCAGAGAGAGGATTACATTGGGATGTAATTATTGAAAAAGTGGAGTACTCGTTAAACAATACACTTCATAGCAGCATCAAACAGCTTCCTAGTGAAACCTTATTTGGAATAGCTCAGAGAGGAGAAAATAGTGATGAATTAAAGGAAAAATTAGGAGAGGAAGAAAAGATTGAAGATAATAGACAAAATTTAGAACAGATTAGGCAGAACGCGGAAGAAAACCAAATAAAATCTCAAACAAAAAACGAAGCCTATTACAATGCGAAAAGGAAGATTAATACAGAATATAGAGAAGGAGATTATGTCATGGTAAAGAATTTTGATAGTACTGCAGGGGTTTCGAGAAAGCTTATACCGAAGCACAAAGGACCATACATTATTGGAAAAGTTTTAAGAAATGACAGATTTTTATTAAAGGACATCGACGGGTTTCAGCTATCTCGGAATCCATACCAAGGTGTTTGGAGCGCAAGTAATATTAGGCATTGGATAAAAGATGAAAATAAATCTTAATCAATTAAATAGAATAAAAATACTAATAATAAGACTGAAATTGTAAGAAAAAATTGTACAAAATTGTTAACTACTTCTAAGACTTAGCTTAAGATATGTTGTAACGCCGAGATAGTGGGCTATCTCAAAGCCAGGATGGCCGAGTTGTAACAGGCCAAGTATAATATATATAAGCTGGCCACATTATTAGAGCAGTGGCTATCTCTTTCAAGAGAGGTGCTATCCCTCTCTCTCAAGAGAACGCCAGAGAGAGCTGCCTGCGTGCAGCGAAGTCAGTCTCGATCGAACCAGAAAGTAAAGACAACGTGTGTGAGAGTTTAAATTAAAATAAAGAGACAAACTATTCCTGGTACACCTCTTATTTTTTCCACAAATTAATAGCTTAGTGGAACATCCCCCGCTCACACACGCATTAATTAATTTAAATTGCATATTTCACCATTATTTATTAATGAGCTTAAAACACACTAAACGCAAATCGATTTTTGTCTCTTTCGTTGCAGCGGATATTATACAGGATTTGGCAAATTAAACTAATTGCCAGTTAAGAGACAACAACCCGCAACAAAAATGGCAACCAAATACATTTTGACATAAGCATTAAAGTAAGTAAGTAGCAAATAAAAATAGAGAAACACATGCATAAAAAATTAAAATGTTTAGCTGTTTAAGTGGCGTGAAAATTGCTAACTATGCGAGTATAAAAAGCAAAACAAGAGAAAACTTGCCTATTTCGACCAAAAACCCAGAAAAAATGATGTAAATGTGAACTATATACTGAAATACATGAAAAGAGTAATAAGTAAAACACGAAAATGCTAGGAATCAATACAAGAATTTAAATTGACATTTAATTAGATCAGGCGAAACATGAAAATTAACATCGAAAGAAAAAAATATGTAAATTGTCTTCTGGAAAAAGTATTAACATGTATTTGTTTCTTTTTAAGTTATTGGCTTAATTATTTAAACAGTATTGTTGCTCAAAAAACTAGTATAGATCAATATAAGAATACTTTCCGAGGACTATTTTTTTCGATAAGAATAAATAAACTCATAAAAAGAACATTCGAATAATATTTCCAAAACAACCCCATTTGTACAAAAGTACAAATCGAATTTTTTATTTATGTTTAAATAATAATGTATTCTATACTTTTTGAACATGTGGCCAAAATATTGAGGTCCATGGCGACAAACTGCAAAAACACCGCCATAATATTCTGGTCAAATCATTGTTAAACCGACAGCCAAACACAAAAGCCACCTTTTGAGGTTTCTATGCTTTTTTTAGAGCCAGTTTGCAGAATATGGAAATTGTGTTCGTTTAAATCAAATAAAAGAGACAAAATGTTCATTTAATTGCTTTTCCAGCCAGTCGGCCAAAATAAGCATGACCAATAAAAATCAAACTTCGACACAATGCGAAAAAAGGGGAAAGGTTGGCAAAAGTTTTCGACTTCTCATTAGCTTTTGTCTCCATTGGGGCATTAAATTGGAACGAATATTTGTTTGCTCGGTTCGACTAATTGCGCTGCTAATTTCAATTGTTCGCATTGTCGGCGAGCAATAATAATGCAAAAATTGTAATTACAAATTAACAATTGGTCGTCTGGGTCCCTCGATGACCTAAAATTAGATTGTGTAAATTTGCAAATTAATTTGCCATTGCACAAAGCCCTCAGTGCCATTCAGTATTTGGCGAAATCAGAGCACACAATATAAATTTATTTACTTGTGCAATCTGTAAATAGTAGACATGGAGTCATTTAATTGCAACTGCCACCAACTTTAAAACTGAACGCTGCCAGTCAAAATTCCAAGTGTGTTGCATTTACATATAGGCTTACTACAAAATATTTACACAGCGACAAACAAAACCGCAGAATATTGAAGTTAAGATAGCAAAACTATCTGTTAGCGTAAAGAGAAAAATCTTTGAAATAAATCAATGATAGCCGAAAAAAAGAGTAATCCACACCCAAAAAATCGAATTCAATTTTGCGATAAGCTGCGATAAGTTTAAAAAAGATTTCTTATTCCAAAATTGAGTGAAAAGTTTAGTACGAACACTTTTTCAGTTGTTATTCACTTTTCGCCTTCATTCCTGAAAAGTGATTACAGAAAAATCATCAGCCAAACTTTCACAAAACTTTCTCCCGACTTGAGGGTGGAATGAAAATTTCATAAATATTGATTCGCATGCCTTTCTTTTTTCACTCTGACAGTAAATAAAATCGAACAAATTTGTAGCCATCAGAATGGGTTGTAAAAACATTTAGTTGTACAGATTTTTCTCTTGTTTTCAATTTAAAAACCAAACCCTTTAGCACTCAGTGATATAGCAAAGAAAACAAAAGGAAACACACAATATTTTATTGCACAGCAAAGCAAATAAAAAAGTGAGAAATATCTTTAATCCAATACTTGTTCAGCTCCGTTATGAAATATTCAAGTAATAAATCCACATAATTGAAGCATTTATTTTGATGTTTAGCAAACAAAAAACAGCGTAAAATATGAATGCAGAAAAAGAGAAATGCATCAGTATTTTTTGGGAATGTTTGCGCAACAATTTATGCATGGAAATTAAGTTAAATAAATGAACTTACATTTTTTAATAAAAGTTGCGCATACACAAATCACCCCCAGCAATAGAAATCAATTAAATGGATAATTAAATTTTAAGGACATTGTAAATACATAAACAGAGTAAACCAAAGAGTATAGGAAATCTATGTGAACAGAAGTTTAATTCGAAATATAATATGTTTAAAGTATGATCAATACAATTTAAAATATACTAAGTAAGAAATGGATTTTTGGAAGTCTTTGTGTGGCTCTGAGTAAGATATTAGTTGTAGATCTCAATTGCATAATTGCATTCACTGTATACTTTTAAGAATGTTAAGATTTGATTTCCCATTGTCCTTAAAACTATGTATTATACAAAATCAATGCTTTAGAATTTGTATTTATTGCCCAAACACACTCAGACCACATTCACATTTTTCCACTATCCATCTAGATATAAGCCAAAATATATTTGTAATCCAAAACCAAATGAGATCAAAATAGTCGATAAACCTATGTGTAAGTCTGCAATTTTGTTTAACAGTCCATTTGGTCAATGTCCGTTTTATAGTTTCCTCTCCAACTAAGTGTAAACTATTAAAAACTGTTCTCCAAATGAAAACTAAAACAACAGAAATGTACACGCCAGGCGTTTGTAACATTTTATTCACATTTTTATTGCGAAACCAAACAAATTAAACTAATTTTTACTGTACACCTAGACCGTAATGATATACGATATTATACAATGTAAAACAGAATATACGATTACTATAAAGTAAATAAAATGAAAATTAAACTAATCAGTTCGTCTACACCTTTTGATTGGGTTAGGCATACAAAATTCTGTCAAAATTTGTGTTTTTTGTTCTGTTTTTTTTTTGTCACTTATTTTTTGGTCAAAATGCTTGGTTACATACAAATAGCATATTTCGATACAGTTGTTCTGATCACAGCTCTAATATTGTTAGCCATTCTGCACTGGACCATTCCTGTTACAAGAAAGCCCAAAATATCAAGCACACCGAAAATCCCAATAAAAAGAGAAGTAAACAACAGAAGGCGGAAAAGCGTTACCACCATGCAGGTAAATTAAAAAATGTTTGCAATTGTTTTTACCATCTCTCCACTTTTTTTGGGGCGCACAATTAAGGTGGAAAAAGTTTGGGTTCGAAAGAGTGATGCTCTTTGAAGGGGCTTATTTGAGTACTAAATATTTGAAATATTAAAAATTAACACTTTCAAAGCATTTTAAAATAATAAAGGTAGTAACCCTAGCTAAAAACTGAGAATAATATTCTAAGATGTATAAACCCCTTTTTATGGATCTAAATTTCACTGCCATTTAGTAAAGGGTATTTTATCTGTTAAGGGACGTTGCATTGGCTTAAATTACTTTTAATTTTATTTTTTTTGACTGCTTGGCAACTCTGACCACCAATGTGTGCCTGCTTGCCTGTGTGCGTGTCAATCTGCGTATGTGTGAGTGTACGCTGCTGGCAAACCGCAAAATGGTGACATTGTGCAAATAAAAAACAATTTACGATAAACATCAAATTTCCACAAATTACCTTATATTTTACGTGAGTTGCGAAACAGATTGTAAAACACAAAAGCACACAAACCGAGGGAAAGTGAAAAAGAAAACCGCGATTCGCAGATTTTACACTGCGCTGAACACATTTTTTTTGTCATTGTTGGAAAAGTGGGGAGAAGGCTAAGGCGCCACTTTAAGCGTGCCTCACGCCTACACTTAAATTTCGAAATTTGCAATTATTTTTATTGCTTGCCATTTTGTTCGCCTCGTCTGCTTTTTCCAGTTTTTTTTTTCACCCCAAGGTGCAAAGGGTGGTTAAGGGGGGACCAGCGGAGTCGTAGGCCATTTCGAGGGCCCTTCATAAATTTCCACGACCCAGAAGGAAAAAAAAATATTCTTTGTACAGGGGAAATAAATATAAATGCTTGTTAAACATGTATGTTTGTGCACGAAATGCACAATAATATTTTCCAGAGCTGTGAAAGATTCACGGGAGAACACTATGATTTTAAAACTAAAATAAATAATATTTATTAGCTTCCGAAATTTCAATTTAGGTTTAAATTTAAAGCCAACATGTTAGCAAATATATAAAATATCATTTGATATGTACAGAAATGTCTCTTGATTAAATTAATTTTTCCTAGTCATTCTAAAAAGACAACTTATCCACATTTTTCAAATCGCTCTTAAAATTAAAATAAATTAAATAAACGTTAAATATCTCGCAGTATATCATAATAATAGGCATATTATTAATTTTGTTTTCTCAAATCAGCTATAACAAATTATAAATAATTTGTTTTGACATTCGAGCAAGAACTAATGACTAGTGCAGTTTTAATATTTCAAAAAACAAAGTTAAGTATTCAAAAAATTTAAGCTAAGCCCTGCAAAATCTTTCCTTTCTAACCCGTATAATCACATTCACTCCGAGGTTTCCAAGGCAAAAGTGCACTCGGGTTGACATTTCTTGGTCAGAAGGAGGCGCCCTCTTGGCCCCGTTTTCCATTCCGGATAACCCCTGCCTCGCATTCCGGAAAACCCATACCTGGCCCCCTAATTGATGTCGCCAGGTGTCGTCGCACCCTCATAAACACGGCTCAACGGCGAAAACACAAGAAATCCAGAAGAGCCAGTTCAATGGCCGAATTGTTGGCCACAGGGCCAATAATTAGGAGTGTCTTTAAGCCAGGGCTAAAAAATGATAAGCGGGCTAGGAAAGTAGACAGCGAACATGGCCAACTCAAATAGACAGAGGGGAAAACTTGGCCTTGGCTGTGTTGACTTGCTGGCCAATGTAATTAGAGAGCATTAGGATTACCCCGACTCTTCACAAAGACAGGATAACGAAGGGCTACACAAAGAGAAAAATACTCTTAAATAATTCAGTTCAGATTATCAGTTTATTTCAATCAAGCTAAGAGTTATGAAATCACTTAATTAGTTTATGTTTTTGGAAGAACCGCTTGCGTGACTACAATTTGTGATGTACTGAAATTTTAGATTTAATTTTTTTATACTTTTTTTGATCAAATGTTTATTTCAACTATTAAGAGTTAACAAGCCATTAAAAGTGTTGAATTAAAAATTATATTTAATTATATTTAAATTTATTTTTTTCCGTGCAACAAAAAAGACACGAAAAGGCAACAAAAACTTGGCCAAGGGCAAAATAGGAAGAGCAGAAATTGTGGTAAACTTTTTGCTGTTTTGGCGTAAGCAAAAATAAATCAATTTCTCGGTGCGTACAATTGTAAGATAGTAGATAGGACAGCGTCCATAACGACAGGACCAACCAACAGGACAAATCCGAGGACCAGAGAGTCATGTCAATGGCCCGCGGCTCTTGAGGAATGGAAATTTTGGTAGACGCCCGCATTTCTTTTTCGAATATTCAAATACAAAAAACCCAACAAAATCTGGGATAACATTTACACGGCGCATGAAATGCGACTTATCCTTGGGACCTTGTTGATTGCATTGAGAACTCAGCTTGTTTTTATTTTTGTCCTGAGGGTTTTACTTAATGATTGAGTCAGGTTTAAAAAAATACACTGATGTGTGCAAAAAATAGTGAATTTAATATCTCCCAGCACAAAATAGCAAATTGTTCATTTTCATAGGCTAAAATGAAATTGTACCTTGTTGTGAAGGGTTCAGTTATATTAAAATGAATATAATCAAAAATATGTGTGGGTATAGCTTTATTACTCTCAGAATTTGTACGAATTTTAACTACACATATAAGCCATTAAGCATTATTTTAGAATATATAACATTTTCACCCAAATGTTTTGTGTTGACACTTTTCTCAATTTAATTAAACGAGAACCAAAAAATAAATCAAACTAGTAAAGGATTTTACTTAGTTTCGATTCAATTTTTAAAACTGGAAACTAATTACATGTATGCATGTCTTGAACAGATACAGATACCTAATTTGAATGCCATTGAAGAGGGTGAAATGTAGTTAACTTTTCAGGGTTTTCAGTTCCCTTCTTTAACCCTCCGTAAACCCTTTCCCCGCCATTGGTTCTTATTCCCCGGGTACTTGTCGCTATTTCTGCTGTTCCTGCTGTTGCGTCGCATTCTCATTGACAAGTTTAATTGATGGGCGTCAGCGTCAGCTTTTGGCTTCAGTTCGATGGAGTTTGGGGGAAAGGCCATGGCCAAGACACCATCTCTACCTCCTAACCTCCTAACTACCCCAAACACGTCCTCCCCCCTTGTACAGTACACCCTCGATTACCGGAATGGCGACGCGACAAAACCGCAGAATCTAATTTGGCACAAACCACCAAAGCAATTAAAGTTGCAGCACTGCAAACGGTGTCCAATGTGAATGCTCCCGTTCTGTCTGTCTCTTTTTCCCCCCAGTGAGTGTGTGTGTGTGGGTGTAGGGGTGTGTGTGAGTAGGGTAGGGGAGGGGTGTGTGCCTTCCTTTGTCGGTGAAGTGTCATTGCAGGCGAGTCAGAACAAATGGCTAGAAGTCTATTTTATTTTTAAAATTATATAAAATGGAATAAATTTAAGAAAATAATTTCCCATAAATTAGGCTTAAAATATACATGAAATATTTATAGGTAAATAAATGTATTATTTCAGCTTAGAAAAATAAATGTTAGATTTAAGGGAATGGTAAGAAGTGTTTACAGGTTAATAACATATAGGATAATAAAGCTATTAATCTTCAAAGGAAAAAAATGCAAACAGATTACATATAATTTAACATAATTAGATTTCTTTTAAAATGATCGATGTTTAAACCTTTTTTACGATTGTTTGTTTTTTCACAGTTGAAATTAACTCAAAGCAAATAAAAATTAGACAAACATGTATCTACAAAATGTCCAAAATTTGTTTTTGGCTCCAACCAGGATGAATTTCGGTAACCTGTCTCTGGCGTTTTTGGGCTAACATGTGGTTGTGGTGGCTGGTGGATTGGGTGGCAGGACAATAATTTAAAATAATTTTCATTTCATCGCAGCACGGACATATTTTTCCTGGTCAAAGTTTTGCGTTGATTTTCGTAGGTTCCCAAAAGTGGTCTCTGCCAAATTGCGGTTGCATTTCTGCTGATTTTTCGGGGCACATGCAATTTCAGTTTTTGAAAGTCAATTTTGTAGTGCTGAGGGATACAGTTTCGTTTTGCATTCAAGGTTTGCTTTAACGATTAGAAACGAATCGCTGGACAGCCAGCGGCCACGCCCCCAGAATCCCAAGGATTGTTAAAGGGGGCGTGGGTTTTGATTTTGAAGCAGCAAAATTTAAAACGATTTGGTTTAAACTTAACTACATTCGTACTACAACTTAATCTATTTTTTTATATTTGTGATTTTAAATATTATGTGGTCAGAGTTTTAGATTTTAAACAAATTATGGTGTATGTTTCTATATAGTCTTTTTTCACCTCTGCGATCTCCGCATGGGAAATAGTACGCCGCGCGTAACAACGACTGCAATCGTGTCGTAATTCTGTTTTCGAATGCATTAATCTGACGTGCTCCAATTTTCCTCCTCTTTATCTTTCCTGCTAATACCGACTGCACGCAAAACACGCTTTTCATTAGGCTCTCAATCCGCCGGCCATTTGGCTCCGCCGCCCACATTTTTGACCCCCTTTTAGTCAATTCCGTGCAATTTCACGCTATCATCTCTAGGGCAAATGCCGCCAGTGCTCTTGAGCGTCATTGAAACACAATAACAAAAATTGTTTAAGAAATTAAGTTTTATGAGGAAATTTTTTAGAACTACACATTTTATAAGTTGTTTTAATTTTAAATTACAATTCGAGTACTTAACCCTATTAAAAATAGTGAACAAAACAAAAAAATATTTAGTTTTAAATAAAACTGCAAGTATAATAAAAATAACTACTAAATTACATTTTATCTGCTCAACCAAAGCATTCAACGAACCAACTAAAAAGTTAAGCGTGGAGAATAAAAATAATCGCTCCAAATAAATTTAAAATGTCAATTTTGTCAGTGTACTGACATCACAGCCATATCCCAATCGCTGGCGTTTTCTCGTTGTCGCATTGCTTT